CTACTAGTAACCTGATAGCAATAAAGTTATCAGCCATCTAAATCCTAGCACAAAATTTATTCATGGACTGCTTACAAAAATTTCATTTTATACTAATGTTGACCTTTAATTGACCTTTAGTTTGGCAGGAGTTCTCTCCTAGGTGTTGGCCCTCACGATGTTCTTCTGGACTGGTATCATGCCACTTTTAGGCTAGAAGAGTCAGAGCATTCCAGTCTTCTAAGAAGCACTCTCTTTATTCCAGAAGTCTTTCTACATACCCATTTCTGTACAAGTCATCTTTCTGTAAGAAAAGAAGCTAAAACTGTCACTTTTGTATTCCAGACAATATGATCAGAAATTCTGCACTGGGATATTAAAGAAGAAAAAAAATGGTCAGAATAGTCTGAAAATTTCTGTTCATTGCTTATTCATAAATCCAAGGCTTAGCTGTGTATTAAATAATAAATTAAATTTTTTAATTTAAACCCAACAAGCCCTAAAGTCTAAGTTTGATTTGAGCTGGCTGCTAGTATTCAGTAGTAAGGTCTAGGAGAAAAATCAATACTTCCATAAAAATTTTAGTTCAATCCGTAGTAGCACAAAAAAAAAATAAAAATTAGAAAATATTTTAAAAGCTGTAAAGAAATAACAAAACAAAACCAAAAAACAGAGAAAATAATTAAGCCATTGTACAAATCCATGGCATGTCTGCCTCTTGAATACCATGGGGCACTAAACTTTCCATCTCAAAGAGTGAATAGAAGACCTGGAAAATGTTCAAAGGCAGCAAGAAAGCTAACCGAAGAACAATTAAATAAGCTTATACTCATCAGCCTGAAAAAGATGTGAGATTGGCTGTGATAAAGTTTTATAAAATCATGGGTGGCAGAAAGGCAGTGGAAATGGAACTACTAGTAAAGCAACAAGAGTAACATTTCCTTCTGTCTGAAAGGCTGAAGCAAGATCACATCCTGCAGAGGATATACCGTACATACACCACTTTGTGCTGTGCTAGCATTTCTCCCCTTCACCTGTATGTGTGTCTATGTGCAAAGTGAGATGGGATACAGCAAGGTAATCCAGAGTCTGCAAAAACATTGTTTTACTACCAATACCTTACTACCAAGGCATTAGCTGCAAGATCAACCATTCTTCCTGTCCATACCTACGCACCACCACGGAGCTTCACAGAGATGAAGTTTATTCTGCCCACAGACATCTGACTAGTATGCTTCAAATGTCTGAAAACAACACTGTAGTTAATAAAGCAATAGAATATATGAATTAAAATATCTCATAAATACCTGATGAGAATTAACTCAGAGACTTCTGTGGTCAGATTAAGATCTCTATAGATATCCAACCAAAAAAGTTTGAAGAAAAGATAATTTTCAAGTGTTAACACTGCCATATTATTCAGCAAAGAAGTTGACACATGGCCTACTTCAGTTGCTGAATTTAACAAAATTTAACAAAAAGTCATCTCATGGGACAGACTTTTAGTGACTCTGAGGACAGAGCATAAGAAAGAGATGAGGGATGAAATACTGCCATATGCTATAACATATGTACAATAACATTTAATGCTTGCCTTTCAATGAATTAATGTCAACATCAAGCTCTCCAATTTAAGCATACCATGATAAATCCCAAACTGAGTTTTACACAGAGAACAGCCACATTTATATAAAAAAAGCCTGGAGAGTTGTCCAATATTATTACTCTTCTGAAAAGCTAATAACACACCTAAGTACAATATTTTAATTTTAAAATCTGACTGTTTTCTGTTACAAATGACACTAAAGTTATAGCATCTGATGGTAGAAACTGCACCAGGTAAAATGTCCCATATCTCTCTGTATGACTTTTTGACAGGGCCTAAATGAATTATTATTATTATTTACCACTTGTACCCAAAGGCCCCTTCTAGCCTGGAGACACACTGCTTTCGTTATGTTATAAATAGTAGGCAAATTCTGGTCCTACTCAAAAGAATTTACAATCAATGACTCCTCAAAAACTTTATATTGTGCTTAAAATACAGTTCAAGAGGTTTAACTGTCTTCATAAAAACTGCAGATTTCTCAATATTAAGTTTATAGAAAGATTTTTGTGGGACATGAGCTTAAGACCTCATCCAGCACAGATCATCTGAGTTTGTCTACAAAATCATGCTGCAAATATGTACAGAATGAAATGGGAATTCATTTAAACCTATTCGGAAATGAAATGACATCTTACATATATTTTATGGAAATACTGTAAAAGGACATTTCTGAAACTGCTCCTTGTGGCTGAGGTTTGTCAGGATTTTGAGAACTCTTAGAGGTCAACTTCCTTGCTTTGTAACAAAACAAAACAAAATTGAACAAAAATCTAGTATGCCATTTTTAGAAAAAAATTTGTCCATTTGATATGTTCAATCACTGGGTTAAAGGAAAGGTAAACAAAACAGCCAAGAATTCATTGGAAAACTGTTTGAGAAAGCTGAGTTTTGGTTCTATAGCCATGACTATAAGTACCATGTGAAATCAACTACAAATACCACATGAAGTCATACCGAACCCATAGTAGGCTAGAATTTAGAAGAGATTATATCTCTGTAAATAGATATTGCTCAGAAATGTTTTACATATTGTAACTTTCAAGAATAGGGAATGTGTACAAGGCCTGTGTACAACCACAACTTTGGAGAGGAATATGTGGGCTGGGATGAGTGATCAAAGGAGCAAGAAGCTGATTGCTTCTTTATCCCTCTGATAATTGCTGATAATTCTCCTGGCATGTCTCTTCATTACATTTCTCAAATACAGAAGGAGCTAAGTCTTACCAATATAAATGTGATTTCACCAATGTTACCTCAGGTAGCAAGCCACAGAAAGAGGAGGAAAACTGTCCTTCAACAACTAACTTACAGTAACTCACACTGAATTTGTACTACTATCAAAACTCAAAATATGCGTTATGTATTTCTCTATCATTCAATGCATTTGAGAAACAAGAGGCAGTTCTATTTCTTTGTCACTTCCAATGTGCAACGAAGATAATTCTGCGCATATTGTACAAAGGTACATATTTCAAAGCCCGCTACATATGTAGCACATTGACAGGTAGTGGCACAACAACAGAAAAAAAAAGAAAAACACAGAAATCCAGAACTCCAATGTCTTAATAATCAAGACCAACTTAGTTCTATGCTCATTCTGTACCTCATTGTCCCCAGTTGTAGGCTATATTTTCTAAATTAAAATGTACAAAACCTCTGTTTTGGTGATGGTCAGTTAATCCTTTTGCAATGTTATGGAAGTGCTAAGTACTCTAAGCGTTCAAGATAGGATAATGAAGTACATTTGTCCCTTCTTCATGTAGACCTAACACAGTGAAAACTATCCATATGTTACAACATATGGCAGAATTCCAGTATCTCTTCATATACCTGATTCCTCATTCTTAGCGTAAACAAATGGCTCTTTCACAGGGGATACTGGGATAAATTGGGCCACAGACTGAATGATTTTGTATTTTGTTAGAGCAGGTTGATGAGAGAAAACTGAGAAACCAAAACAGACAACAAATTCTTTTTCACCTTAAACAAAAAAATAATTACAATTCAAAGTACAGTCATGGCATACAGAGCACATGCGTTTTTTGGCTTTTTCAGTAGACTTTTAGAATTTTTTTTCCATCCCCCTTCTAACAAACCAATAGCATTAAGTGACCAGTGGATGGTAATTTTTTTCTTATTCTAGCTTTTTTCTCAAATCCTTTCAAAAACTGAACTTTATGGTACATACTGGAATGCTCAGTTTCAAAATTACCTTCAAAATTACCTTAAATTTACCAAATAAACCTCTGCACTCAGCATTTGAAATGCAGTCAAATTTTTCAGCTCTATTTCTTTCCGTTTTAAAGGTGAAGCAGAAATGCTTCATTCTCAGTAAGTTGTGAGTCTCCATATCTATACACTATCATATCAGAGAAATATACCAAAACCCCTATTACTATTTTACAAAGAGAAATACTGGAGACTGGAATAACTATGAGAGCAACTGAAAATAAAATCTTGACTTGTGGTAGGGAATCTAATATTTTCATAATCATCATAAGGAATGGACAGTAAAATCTCGACTGTGTTTTCATATGAAGTAAGAATGGCACTCAGGTCAGATGGAGAACTGATTTAAATAGTCATAAAACTTGATTTATGCACAGTACATAGTTTTGAATATCCAAAAATATAATCCTATGGAAACAAATTCAGTAGATTACTGTCCTTACCAGTATCAACTATAAATGTTTTGAGGCCATTAATAGAGTTCAAGGAAAAATAGGAAGACAAGTGCTCTAATAGGAGCAAAGTCTGTCGAAAGAGAAATCAAGATCCCTGAAAAATGAGCTGCGAAAAAGATTGAATTTCTACATCCTTTCTCATTTTGCTGACCTGCTGAAGTCAGCTCTCGGTGCTAAAGTTAGTGCACTTAAAGATACCACATTTACATCAGGTTGCAGGTCCTCCTGGGACCTAAAATTGAAAGAAAAATTGAAAGTGGCATTACAGAAAAAGGCTTTTTTTAATAGTTTTTAGTTTATTTTTGCTTCAGTTCTTCACCAACAAATTCAGTGACACAACTCCAGTTGATCAAGTCACATTTCTAGATGTGATAGCACGGACCAGAGCAAAAGCACTCAGGATAACAAATAAAGATACTACAAATTTCAAAATATTAAATAGTTGAATTAACTCCAGTAAGCTTAAGTATATATGTATATATAAAATAACTTTTAAGCCACGTGAGACCATTTTACAACACGCTTTTAGCAAGTAATGCCTCCAAGTCAAATAATTTATGATGGAATTGTAGAATTTCTTTCAGAATGTTATCTTCTCTTAATTTCAGACCAGAAAGATTCCACTGGAAGAATGTTAGGAGTTTTATTTCAAAGACCATTATACTACTGAAAATTCACTCCTCAGATCCAGTGTGATTCTGTTTAATTCTTTTCCTTTGGTTTATTAGACTCATTATGGCCACTTTCTGAAAGAAAGGAGAGGAATTACATTACCTTACACCTTTCCCCATGTAAGTAATTAGAAACTAGTATTAAATTGTCATTTCTCATTCTGATTAATTAGAACATAGAATTTTTTTATATATATTTTATTCCTGTAAAGTATTTTTGCTGTTCCTTGAATCTGTCTTGTGACTCTCTGATGAATCACTTCCAAAGTTCCATAGTGTTTTCTGGATTGGGAAAAAATAATCAAATTCCTTTGGGTTTTGTTTCTGAAAAATAGTGTCAACCACCAGAGTGTATCACAGTAGTTGTATATACATAGAAAAATACAGAAACTTATATAATTTTCTTAGAAAATTATAGAAAATATGATAATGATAACCTAGTCATGTGCCTCATCATAAAGTAGATTTTATTGTATGCATGTAGCAGGAGTGTAACCAATATATTACTGATGGAAGGAAGTCATTAATAAGTGTTTGGTATCAGGGTGTACCAAGGTGTCTGTTGCTTCATGTTACTTTGGACTGAAAACTAGAGGTACTTTTACTATTTTTAAAAAAGAGCTGTGCTGTAACATTCCAAGATCTTCTTAAGTTGTCACTGGAGAATTTTCCACAGCCAAAAGTAAGTTAATCAGAGTTCATGTTCAGATGTGAAAAAGTGTCCCAGAAATTATTTAGTGAGTTTGAAGACCTAAAGCAATGTAAAACTAATCCATATATAAACATTGTTGACAGTGACTTGCTGTGTTTCACAGCCACTGTCTAAAAGAGCAGCATAATCATAGCCTAAATCTTCAGGAGTCAGATTTGGAGAGCAAATAAGAATGACAAACAAAGCTTTTTTGTAATAGGTTTATGTATAGGTAAATATGTCTGCAATTTACTCAGCATACATTTGACTGCAGTTAGGCAGATGAACTGGAATGAAACAACTAGAGGTTTTCCCCATACTTCAGTCAAATTGAAGCAAAGTGGAGTCTTCCTCAAATGCAAAAATAGCTCATTAACTCTTTTGTTAGGTTTGTGTTACAACTTCCCAATAAACTATTACTTAAATATTACGAGGACAGGCAACAGCAGGCTAATTTTCATGAGCATCAGAGTTTTGCCCAAACATTTTTTATTTCCACAGTTAAGCTGGAAATCTTTACAAAAACTTTTCTTGTAGATTTTCATGTCCATACAGTCTAGCAGGAAAGAAAAGAAAAGCAGGTAAAACTGAAAGAAACTAACATCTCAGCAGTATCTTTCAAAGTTGAATGGTTTGAGATTCATGGTATGAAGATCTGATTTCCTCTAATGGACATTATATCTGACATCAATAGTTTTCCAAATAAAATCCAACTCAAAATGGTGTATTTCATGTGCACATATACGCAAATGATTCTCTGCAGCTTGCACAAGTGTGGTTTTGCTGTACAGGTGACATACAGCCCAGGTTCATGCTCAAGCCGCATGAGTTATATTAGCATGTCCACCTAGCCTGAGCATTTTGATCAAGCGGCTTATGTTTTGCACCATGCAGAACAAAAGCTGCATCTACAGAATAAGCCCATCTTGATGGATTTGAGGCTTGTGCATCCCAGTATACTGAGATTATCTTGTCTTTTGGATAAAACTGGACCAGTTTCTGAATCAAGAAGCAAAGAAGATCATAAACATTCCCTCCTAAAGGACCATTTTTTATTATCACATCTACATTTCTGCCTATGAATAATATAAAAGCTATATCCAGGGAAGCTGCAAAGCTGCAGAGAAATTCAAAAGCTCTCATGGCATCATGAAAAATACATCCCAGGAAGAGTAGCAGGGACAAAAAAAGTGATAACAAAAATATAATTACATGTCAGATGTAACATGATGAGCATAAAAAAGTCATTACACAAAATGACTGCTCACAATAGCAGAAGATTTTTGTTTTCAGGAGCTCCCTTTAGTCTCCATATAAATGAATTTTGCCTTAATGTAGTCAGGTAAGAGGAAGAAGTGCAAGTACTTCATCTGTTGGGTGGCGTCTTTCTGAGTTTTAAGAGCATCAGTTTTTCTGCATGAGATGCATGCAGGCTACTAGCTAGATAACTGTACATTTTTTGTGTTCCTCTTTGCAGAGAGATACCTGGAAGCAGAGCCACTACTTTAGAGCCACTACTTATCTTTCTCCCTGTTTGGAACATGGTGTGAGACACTCTGGGTTTGTTGGGCAGGGTGGGGGGCATCTTTTACCATTGGTGGGTTTTTTTCCATTAGAAAGGAATAGACTTCAATGACATTATTATATATTTCAATATGTATTCTATCACAAATAGTTCCTTTGAGTAAGAGAGCTGGTTTCAGCTGGGACAGAGTTAATTTTCTTTTTACTAAAAAAAAAGAGGTTTTACAAAAACCTTTTGTTTTGGATTTAACATGAGAATAATGTTGATAACATACTGATGTTTTAGTTATTGACAAGTAGTGCTTACCCTAAGGCAAGGACTTTTCAGTTTCCCATGCTCTGCCAGCCAACAGGTTCACAAGAAACCAGGAGGAAGCACAGCCAGAACAGCTGACCCAAACTGGCCAAATGTCATGCCCAGTGTATTGGGACCTCATCTGCTGGAGGGTGGACTGGACATCATTCAGTGGGTGCTGAGCAACTGTTTCTCTTGTTTATCTTGGTAACTTTCCCTCTCTCTTTTTGTTAACTCCCTTATTATTAGCATTAGTAGTAGTAGTTGTTGTTGTTGTTGTAATTATTTTAATATTTTACTTTATTTCAATTTTTAAACTTTTCTTATCTCAACTTGTGAGTTTTACTGGTTTTTTTCCTCATTCTCTTCCTCATACCACTGGAGGGGGGTGCAGGGTAGTGAGTGAGCAGCTGCATGGTATGTAGTTGCTGACTGGGATTAAAACATGACAGGCAGGCAAACACTGAGTCTTAAAACCACCATAGGGAGTCTCTCTGTGTGTCTTTCTGATCAGACAGAGGCAGCAGGATATATCATCTCAGATTTAGTGTTTGACAGACTAGTGTCTCTATAAGCAGTCTGAAGGCAGTAAACCTGTTTGGAAAAATGCATGATGACTTAAAGGTTCTATTTACTAATGAGTTGAAAGCTACTTCTAAGAAATCTAACAGTTCCCAAAATAAAGCAAGAGTGGCAAAACAGTCAGTAGTCTAATTCAACAATTTCAGAAAATAACACAGCAACAGCCACGAAGATTCATTTTGATAATATAGTAATAAACAACTCTTTCTTGTGTACCAACAAAATGAACTAAGTCCCTAACTAAATGACATGAACAAAGACTTCTTCTGTATAATCTGAAGAATAAGGAAACTTTCCAGCTTTTACATGACATTATGTGGAAGCATCCTTTGCTCAGATTCAGCAGGCAGTATTGCCAAGTGAGGAATCAACTGAAATTTTTAATGTGCTTCTTTTACATGTTAATTTATGAAAAGGTCAGGTTTACCTCACAAAACAAAACTACATGGTTGGGCTAGGTTTGACTATGATTTGAGTTCTGGACTGTGCAACATATATGCAACATCACAAAAATCATTTAAGCACAGGATCAAAGTTAGCTCAGGTTTCAGCAGTTACACATCTCAGTTTCAAGCTTCTAGACTGTCTATCACTCACTAAATATTTTCACAACTGATTCATGGAAAGTGTGCTCTGGAAATTATTATTAATAATTGCTTCAGTGATGTAATGACAGCAAAGTCTGCTTCTGCTCCTGCTTCATCCCTGTGGTGAAGAATCAGACCTTTCAATTATACTTTCTAACAGTAGCTTTTGTATGCTTTGCTACACTTTTCTAATTTTTTACTACACTTGAAGAGTGTGGCTGAATCCACCTGATACAGACTACTGCTAGCCATTTGGGCTGTATTTCACTGCCTGCAAACACAACCCCCCCTCTGGTGGGTTAAATACCTCTGTCTCATGTACACTGAGCACTTTCTTGCTGATTAAAATGTTAAGACTGAAAAATCCATTAATCGTTTCTAAAATGGGCTGCAAAATATAAACTGCAATCTGTTACATTCATCTATAATTAAGAGTTTATATTTTATTTTCTGCTTTTTTATCCCTGCAAATATTTGATTTGTCCTGACTCTATACTGAGCAAATCTTTTTCCTGTTTCGTTCACACTGCCACACTGCATCTCTGTTTTGGCCAATAAACCTTTGCTGATCTACCATTGGACAAAAATTTGGAAATTTGTATCAATTTTTGAGGGAATAGTTAAGATCATTATGCATACATATATAAATTTAATTCAAGAAGTCTATGTCCCTTTTACAATAACTTTTAATTTTTCAGTTTGGAACTAGCAATCAGCTTCTATGGCTGAGGGCTAGCTTATTTCTTTGATGTAAGGATCCTTGGAACAAAAATATATGCAATAAGCCAACAATTTTGCCTGCCTTTCTGCTGGTCTTGAGGGTATCTCAGTTCTGGCAAACAGACAGGTAATGGGAGTTAGAAGGAGGGGAAAAAACAGCAATAAAAAGATAAATCACAAAAGGAAGGAAATCCATTTGGGCCTTGGCAGCAAAGACACTGCTCAGCTAATCCATGCTGAGTGCAATCCAATACTCCTTTATATAATCCTTTTCTTGTGGAAGAAAATTAAAGTTTAATGCAATAAAGGCTGACACAAATCACTTTTGTTGCCAAGGAGCAGATTAAAGAATAGTTAAAATCATACAAATCTGATTTATTTTCTGTTGTTGTTGCTTTATTTTATCCAGTGATATATTTATTTTTTAATTCACAACATCAGTTTTTGATTGTTAAACATATATTCCCAATTTAAGAGAGATTTTATGATGGAAAGAAGAGGAAAGAAAATAGAGACAGCCAAGAAATGATTAGTTCTTAAATGGTTCATGTTAAACCTCTTTCAAAATTCCATAAATTTTTCATGTTTCATATGGCCTTTAATCAATCTGTGTCAAGGGGACTTTAAAATAAGCATAAAGGAAGTAGAGTTCTATCGTTCACAATTGGATCTGTACAGGTCACTCCCATTAACTATCACTCTTGTATACATACGCATTTGTTGTTCTACAACACATCAGAGATCTGTCAACAATGGAACAAACTGAGAATTTCTGCAAGAGAGACAACAATGTAAGAGTGTGGTGACCCAAATCTTCCATTTTATTACTCCAGTCATCAGCCTCAACAGGCTCTTCATTGGCAAGTTGAACTGGAAAAAACAAAATAAGACAAAACAAAATGAAAACAGATCCTGGGCATATTATGCTCCACACAATACATTCTTTCATGACAGAAAAGGTTAGAATTTATCTGAAATGTTGATCAGACTTATGATTGTGTTGGAATAGGATCACGTTTTTAATTTTCTTTGCCTTTGTCCCCAGCTCCAATATGTCCTCTTTCACAAATTCCTTTGGGTAATTTCCCTGCTACTCTTCATATTGGTGATACAACATAACTGCAGAGTATGTGGAGAGAATGTAGGAGTCATTGTACAGTTATCATTTTTCCCAATAGAGCTGTCAAAATATTACCCAAGGCACTTGAGAAGTTTGTGAAATACAATATGGAAGTGGAAATATTGCGTAATTTCTCCAGTATTTCACTTCTTCACATATATTTTTGCAGCAATATCTCTGCAGGTGTATGATGCATTCTTACTGAGGGAATGGGCTTCTGCTGAATAGAACTGGGGTTAAAAACATACCTTAAAAACATGAAAAGACTTATTTCATTTTCCTTGTATTATACTTTCCTCTTTCAGACTGTAGGTAAGGAAAAGCTAATGTCTTGTGGCAGTTCAAGCCCTCATTACAGTTAGATTTCAGGGATTCTCCTGAACAGGTTTTTGAGCAAACTATTTGCCTCAGAAATGCTGCTTCGTCAGGAAGAACAGAAAGGAAATAGATCACAAAAAAAAATACAAAATCTGATATCCTAGGAGAATTCTGTAGGAAGAAAATAAAATTTGTACGGTTTTATTGTATCTCAGTGACATCCAGACAACTCTTTGACAGAAACTATTCCATATCATCTTGACATCTTTTCTTACCTTACACTTGTTCTTATCTGTGGTAAGAGATTAGGCTATGGGAAATTGCACCAGTCAGGCCAAAGTAAAAAGGCAACTTGAATGATCTCCGTCCTGAATTTCAACATGCATGTCTATTTAAAACTGAGAGTTTCTCAAACTGCTTTATTCATCCTTTTTTGTTTTACTCCTGGTTTTGGTTTTTTTTGCTCCAGCTTTAAATTGGACATATTTCTGGTTTGTTTTCTTCTTTTTCTTTGAAACACTGATTCCAATTTATTTGGCATGTAGAAACAAGTCAAGAGTGAGTATATGGCAAGGTTTGTATAAAGTTATGAGGACATGGTCCCAACAACCAAGTTTTAGTTAGAGACAGTGTACTTTAAAAGACTAGAATATTTCCAGTAGAGAAAATGCAAGGGTCTCATTTTCCCTCTTTACCTCTTTTGTACCTATGTGAAGAACATCACAACAGCATATTTTATTACCCTGTGATATTGCGATCTACTGTAATTGTATGGGATCAGTCAGCAGTGGCAAAACTCAGTCACTGGTGTCTGGAGTGCCATTGGATTTGTAGGTCAAAACCTGCTTTGCCAGACCACTTGAACTGGTTTCCTGTGCATTATGGAAAAGTATTAAATGCAGTGCAGAAATGAGGAATGGGGGATGGGGGGTGTGTTTACATGTAATTATGTGTCTGCATATATGTGTTTTCTAATCCCTTTGCAGCTTGCCAGCCTGAAACTGCAAATGTCATCATCATGAAGGCAGCAGTTGAATCCAACAAGTGAGGTGATTAACCATGACATTTCTAGCAGGTTTAATTGTAAGGGGTGTGCTGGGATACTTTTCAGTACAAACATGGTTTCATTTCATGTCAGCATCAAGACTACAGACATAGATTTTACTCCATGAACTAGGGTGTAAAGTTTCCACCTCCAATACACTTTATGACCTTTCAGGTGTGTAAACCTCTAATCTATATCAAGCTCATCTTTGCTGGTTCAGCTGCCACATGGTGACAACCTGCTAGACTCTGTGTCTGGTCTAATGGTGATTTACTGCATAGTAGAATTAAAGCACTAACATGGTATTCCTATCTACCCA